GAAGGCTCGTGTAATTTGGGGTTAGGTGCCATAACTGACTCTATGCCCCGTTTATCAGCTAACCCAAACAAATTTTTGCACTCATAATAGGAGAAGAAGAATATTGGTGGAAGCAAATCAACAGTGCACACACACGTTTTCCAACTGTAACTGCAATCTAATCCTTAATAAGATTGTTCTGGAATGAACCAACTTTAGGGTAAGATACCAGCAGGCTGAATTGCAAATGAGGACAAACAATGAGCAACTTCACTTTTTTTTTTACCGTTGAAAAAACTGAACAATTACCCAGACGATTGGACCGGGAATCAGACTGAATATGATGCACTGAGATATTAAACACAACTATGATTATTAAAAATAGAAAAACGGACATACAATTGCAACAAATTGTTTACTTAGATGCAAACTGAAGCAGACACAAAGACTGGCGGAAAATAAACCTACTCTTTACCAACAAGTGCAAATTAAAGACGAGAACCGAATAAAAGTAATTTCAATTCCAGTAGGCGAAGTTTGAATAACTTGATCGAGCATAGGAACTATTATCTCGTCAAAGAGAGAAAATTACATGCAGCATTCTTACGTTATCTACGACTTGTAAAACCAAAACCAACGAAGACTAGTACAGTCAAGAAAAAAAATTAAGAAGGTCATCGACGACTCGAAATGTAGCTCCTTCGCCAATCTCAGCACACCTACCTCCTCCACCAATAAAAAATTTGGGAAGCAGCCAAACAGAGACATTCCCAGAGAATATTAAAATGCAGAAGGCTTCGAAAGCAATCGTAACATACAGCGAACAAGGATACTTAGAAACCACGAAAACGTTTGATAGCGGAATATGAAACGCTATTCCACGAGACTGGAACCATAACTGAAGTGTGAGAAGGACGAAAACTTTCCCCGATAAAACGTTTGGATTACATAAAGATGACATGAAAGCAGTGGATTCCTCGAAAGAGAAGATAACAAATTAGGGGGAAGTTACCTTAGTGAAGAAAAGAGTTTGATCCTGGAAGAAATAGAGCAGCCATGAAATGCTTTTGTGAATAAATTGAAATGACACTCTTCAGTATTACCGTACTAGTAGAGAGACAGACGTCTTTATTGTTATAAAAGCCGAAGAGCTCGGGAGGGGTGTCTATTTGAAAGGGTGGCGTGGTCAGGACAGTTGAAACGACGTCGTGCTCGTACTTCATTGATGGAGATTCTTTGTACTAGTGTAATTTAGTTCTGGAATTTAAGTTGCTTATATTTTTTTTAAAAAAAATGTTAAAACAATTTTACAGGTTTTAATATCAAAGCTTGAGTAAAGATGTAATTATTTCTATAAATATGTTGTCTTTTTTAAAGACCAAAAAATGGATTATAATTTGCTATGAGTTTTGTACAAACTTTCTCCATATTATTTTTTAATGTATTATAGAAGTTGTCTTATATCATTCATGATACATTTAACAATAATTTTTATGATCACACTATAAATAAATACGTATAAAATTAAAATTTAACCGAAATTTTTAAATTTTTTAATTTTAATTATGAGTTATTCGGAACGTGTAAAATGAATAATTTTTTTATCTTTCATTAATTTTTTTCTTTATAAATATTTTTTAAAAAATTTTATTACTTTATTAACCGTACTTAATAAAAATACGCAAATATTTTGTACGTTTATAATAAATATTATTCTTTGCTTATATTTTTTTAAAAAAATTAAATATTTTACTTTTAAACAAAATAATTTATTTTATATTTTATCTTTTGTTGTTATATCCTCATTAAACAAATATGGAATTTAGTAAACTTCATATATTATTAACTTTTTTTCACGTCGAGCCCACAAAATATTATAATAATCCAAAAATAAGTGGCATCTCAATTCCTATCAGGTTTATATAATTAATTATGTGCAGGTTCATCATAATACTCATTGAATTTTAACCACACATACTTTTTCACTGATAGTTTGATATTATGACAAACATCTGTCACTTTGTCGTCGTTAACTTCATCATGTACGGGCTAAAGAAGTTGCATGTACCGTAATTTAGAGTATGAATTTATACCCATGGTGTTTTTTAGTTGGGTCGAATCAAAAATAAATATATATTTTCGATCAAATATGTCATCAGTCACATATTTTTTTTGTAAAAGATGTTTCAGATGACTTACTACTAATATTGTTTGTAGCTAATGGTTTTTCTATCTTTTGTTGGCTTGAACATCAACACCAATATAATTTTCGCGGAGAGTTTATCTTTTAGTTTTTCTAACTTGGGACAAGTCAATGTTTTCTTACTATTATCAAATTATATTTTGCTTGTATATTATTAACTTTTTAAATAGAAAGTGCTTCATACTTTTCTTTTCAAGCGAAGTCAGGCAAAACTTCCTTCGTATAGCATACATACACATACAGCAACCTTTTTATTCATTAAACAAAGGTGGAAATAAGGGAATAATAATGTATACGGCCGACAATCTAAAACCTTAATACTCCATACAGATCTGACGCTGTAAGAAAAATTCATTACTTTTTAAGACACAATATTATCTACCCAGCTCCTACTTAAAGTTGAATCCCAATTTAGGGAAGGTACCACCACCGAGGCATAGGCTCGTGCTTGTCAACTGCCAAATCAATATATTTCATATCATCTATATGAGAGATATTCCATAAACGGCAAGCCTACTCGTTAAATTATATGAAAGCTCAAAAAGATAATTCCAGAATACAAGTCAAAAGTTTGATATTAATCTTAGCATTCAGACTCAAGTCTGCATTTATTTGAGACAACAAAATGGCCGTTCTGTAAGTTCTTTTTATGTTTACATAAAAACGAAAAAGCAAGATACCATATAAACTGAAACTTCTCATAAAGTTCACATGGACCACAAAATGCAGTCTTGGAACTTAATGATACCCTCTCTGAGAAAAACATCCCCACTTCAGAGATAACATATCTCTTCGGAACCGCAATTTGTCTACCGCAAACTGCCAACTACACAGTACCCACTAACCGGAACTAGCTATATTTATGAACTATGATTATTCTATCTGGTATTCACACTAACTTAGCTATTAATATGTTTGGATTTATCCAACCAAACTTTGGAGGTTCACGACACCAAACACATTACTCGTTCTCTTCTCCATCTCTTGCAACTGCAGAAAGAAGCAAAAGCATCAGAAAACAGAAGTTTTACCACACGAGAAATTGTAAGTGACATCGCTGACCCTTATTGAATCCTGATTGTATATTTTAAATGTATCAACCTACTTGAACAAGAATCTAAGAAATAAATTCGGGAAATCCATAAGAATGATATTCTGAAATCAACCAAATTAAAATCCAGAGGTTTGGTGTTGACAATTCACGGCCAAGAATCTTTAAGGAGGTGGACTACAGGAATTACCTGCTTCGTTGATCTCATTAACAGTGGAGTTTATGAGTTGACTCACAGCCTCAATGGCTTCCTCAGTTCCTGACACTTCAAGTTCTTGTTGCATGGCAATAGTCACTAGAGATGAATCAGATTCTGGTGGCCCACCAGGGATTACGGTAAAACCTGATGGCTTTAGTATATTCTCTCTCAAAGATCCATAAAGAAGAGTAAGATCAACATCATCCTGGATCATTGGTGATGATAGTATGAATGAACAAAATTCATCCCTTGAAACCACTTGCACAACGTATTCATAGGCCTGTAAGGTTAGAATATGTTGACTGAGAAAATGATTATACTATAATCCATTATACTGTAACTCCAGCTACCCGGGTAATAAACAAAATGAAATATTAGAACCTTTCTTAAGAAGTTAAGTGGCACTACCTTTTTGTGTATAGTAATATAACCGCCACCATCTTTCACTGCAAGTTTAATGACTTCTTCAGGTTCCACCAAACTTAGAAAACTAGGCCACTATAAAAGACAGATAGATTAGGAGTTCATACAGATTGAAAAACTGATCACTTTGATCTAAGTAGTTGCAATTTACCTGTAATGCCATATTCTTTCTGGCTAGAAGATCGAGAACTGATGAGGGCTTTTTGGGCACTCGAAAGCTAGTCAATCCAATGTAGTTATTTGAACCCATTGCACTGCTGTGATTTCCGATCCTGCTCCTCAAAATTCTTACACCCCTGTCTGAGAGTAGAGTCCACTTATTTTCATTGGGAGTTCCATTAACACATTCCGAATAGACCTTCTCCATGATTTCAGTTACCTTAAGCAGACTATTACTAACTGCAAATTGGCACAATTATTTTAACTTACAAGTATCAGTTTTGAAGTTAGCAATTCAGGAGGCAAATACCACATGTTCAACACATGTCAAAGGCTGACTGCAATGTTACTGGAATTTTGACAATCAAAAAGATGGTTATAAAGTACCATTTCGTGATTTAAAGACATAATAATTATTACCAATTTTTGCAACCCTTATCATGAATGCATATGTCCAAGGCCCAAGAAGAATACATGTATATTATGATTTATAGCTGATTATAGGACTTCCATGACCTCTCAATTGATTAATCATTTTCAAGGCAAAAAGCAGAAAACAACACCAGTTCCCAAAATTATATATACACTATATATGTATATCTTGAGCAGATACGATCCAACAAAGAACAATTTGTTCCCATATATAAAAGGGACTGAGGCAGTCTCGGGGAGGCACCACCATACTCAATAACATAAAGGCCAAAAAATCTTTAACATATTCCTAAATATTGAAAATACTTAAACTGGTAAGAACAAAAAGAGAAAGGAAAATTAGTTTATTGAAATCCTATAGTTTCCTGAAATAAAATAAGTTGTTGTGTTAAATGTGTAAGATATTTTGTAAAAGACTTACAATCCACAGTAAGCATAAAAAATAAGTTGTTGTGTTAAATGTGTAAGATATTTTGTAAAAGACTTACAATCCACAGTAAGCATAAAGCCTCAGCTAAACCACTGTTGTAGCATTATTGCCCAAAAAGGAGCAATACCAAGATAAGATGATTCTATACCTTTCCAGCCTATTTCTGTATTAATACTGATCACTTCGCTATCCTGTCGCTTCACTTTCTGTAACAATGCATTAACCCAGCGCTTTGCACAGAATGCCATGTCTGAGCCATCAGCCATACCATCATTTACTTCCACATTCTCAATCCATATAACCTGCAGATGTAAAGAGATTCATGAAAGTGAAAGTTTCTAAAACAATAAATAAAATTCATAAGCTAATGAGAACAACACCAACCTCAGAATGCTCTTTGTGCTTCCTGATTATTACCCCAGAAGGCCTTCTCCGACAATCTGGCTTGAATGTAGAATCAGATGTGATATTGTTGAAATAATCAGTTGAGATATCAAATAAAATCCAGATATTTGGTATGATTTCCTTTAGGCATCTAATGAAACGGAATTTCCGAGTTGACACAAAAGGTGTTGGTAAGAAGAGTTCAGCATTGACCTATGTCACAGAAGGATTTGATGCAATCTTAATTAATATAAATTATCATGCTAGTGACAGGCCACGTGGAGCAAATTAGATCAGCCAAAAGGATTGTAGATGCCATTTGTCTCAAAATAAGGCCAAGAAATTTACCATTCTTATAAGTTTGATATTTGGATAAATATCCTGTTGCTGTAAAATGCCAATAGGTCCAGTACTAGATGCACAGAGGACAATTTGTGAGAATACTGACGCCCATCGATCCTGTGAAGAGAGAGGGAAAAACTATAAACATGGGAACAAGATAAGAACAAAAACTTGAAAACTAGATTTTAGATGACTAACTGGGAACTGAAGACAGAAAATCATTTTCTTATAATGCTTTTATGCAATGTATGCACAGCAAGTCATCTCTGCATCTTTTTGCAGTAGAGTACTATATAGTATCCCATCACTGACAT